ATAGCCAGAACTCTTAGCTACTGAGCCACTTCTCTAACCCTGAGATGAAGAATTTTTGTGAACAGAAAAGATTTAAATAGTAAGATTTGATGGGGTTTGATTTTCAAAGCGAAACATTTCAGATGTGTGATTAATGTAGAGTGAACTGAGCACAGCAACCATACAGGAAAGCAGAGAAATACGGTTTGATAGAAAATACGCTTAAAATATATCCTTAAAAGGGGCAAACAGGAGGTAGACCTTGTAAAAGGAAACAGAAGAGTCTAAAAGTAGAATACAAGACTGAATCTGATGGGTTACAATGCCCACAAAATAGATACATACTGCGTACTTCAGCACCTGAACAATCTCAGAATTGAAAGGAACAATGCTAGACGGAGAACCTCGTGACTGGCACTAGACACATGAAGTAAATGAGTCAATGTTTCTCAATGAAACGCTAATCAGTTTCAGCAACAGATGGTGATAACACCTGAGTTTCAGGTGTTGTCTCCAAAGACACGGAACTTGGTAATGTAATGAGGGAAGGGCAAGATGACTAACAAGACCATAAAAGTTCAGAAAATTCTAAGACCATCTGGGTACTCCTAGAAATATCTGACGGATCCCATACATCATCAGTCATTTCCTTAAACAGTCAACAGCCAAAGAAGTGTCACCTTGGCTTTGAAAAGGTAAACAGAGAAATAGCAAGCAAAGAATATTTAGTCAGTAAGGTGTATAATCAACAAGAAAAAAAAAAAACGGACCAACTATACCAAACTGAAAGCCAAGAACTGCAGTCCATCTCCCCAGTACTATTTGATGTCAAATTCAGTGAGAATAAATGGTTTATTGCTCCATGACCTCTTTATTACTCTTGTGCTTGCATTTTCTTCCAATATTTTAATTTTCTCATGATGCTCTTAAACTTTGACCTTGAATTATTCTCTTCTCACCTGCCAATCTGGCCTGCTTTTCCTGCATTCTTTTGGTCTAGTCATTTCTAATTCAATTTTTTCCCCTCCTCACTACCCTAACTATATACTACTTTCAGTTAGCATCTCTTTTGTAGAAATTTCTTTATACTCCATTGTATATAGTTTTTTTAAGTCTTACTTATTTGATGTGTATGAATCGCCCACTAAGGCCATCAAAGGTCATTTCATTAGATTCCCCTGGAACTGGAGGTACAGATAGTTGCTAGTTACCATACAGATGCTGGGACTAGAATCTGGATCCTCCAGAAGAGCAGCTAGTGCTCTTACTGCTGAGCCCAATCTCCAACCCTTTATAGCAAATTTTAAATTAGTAATGTACTACCTGTTATCAAACTCACCTGTTCTGTATAGGACTCACATTTAACTATTTTTATATTGTTCCATGTCTCAAATTCTTTCTCTCACACAAAACTGTAAGTTCTGGGGTGGAGACAGACTCAGCAGTTAAGAAGCAGGTACTGCTCTTGTAGAGGCCGAAGCTCACCAGTAATCTAGCTCCAGGAGAGCTGATGCCCTCTTCTGGCCTCCAAGAGCATCTGCATGCACATGTGCATATACAAATCAACAGGTGGGAGAGGGGACTTCAAAATTAAAAATAAATAAACTCTAAGGAGTTAAGACTATACTCCAAACACACTTACTTTCTTGTATTGCTCACAGTGCCAGAGGCTCAATAAATTTGCTAAGGTTTAACAAGATTAATCTGAAGTTAGGAAAAAAACTAATGTTTGACAGTAACTCTGTATAAAAAAAAAACCTTGAGAAAAACCTAAGTGACAAATTTTACCCATGTTTTAACCATGAAATAAAAGTTACATATAACTTTTCCTAATACTTCTAGTTCTAAGGGTAAGATAAAAGTTATTATTTTACTGAACAGACTTGTGGAGAGTCAGCTTCCAGTACACGGAGAGGGTAGAAAGAACTAAAAATGTTTTCTTCTGTGAAGAATTCCCGAAGAGACAATGAGGGAAAGAGTTGTTCTCTTTTTCTATACCTTGGGTACTTAATCTACTTAGTCCTTTACAGTTATTACTTCTTAACGAAAGTCTGAACTATCCTAACCTCTAGCTCATCATTTTATCCCCATGGCACGTTAAGTGCTAAATATAAATAATCAAATTAATAAACAACAAATCAGAGGTTTTAACACTTAATGTAAACTAACTTTCATGGGTTAAATACAGAAAATGCCTTAGTTTGGGAGGGAGACTTGTCAGAGGAAGTCTCAAGGCATCCAGGGGAAGGTATGAAACTCAAAGAACGTATTTCAAATTCTTATGTCTGGTTTTTAAAAATTCTTTAACCTTTCATTCCAGTTTGTTTGCAGTTCTAGGGAAGGTACCAAGGGCGGTGTACATACTTGCTGTATAAGTGCTCTACACCAACCCAACACACTCTAATATTGTCCCCCAGTTTGATAAAATCAACAAAGCCTTGCTCATTACACAAACTACCAAATGGATGACATACGACTTTATTAAAATTTCTTCACTATTCTTTTAGACACATTTCTTTCTTGTACTTAAAGAATATTACAAACATGAAACAACACTATAGAATGCTTCTTGAGTCAATTAACCAGAGTGCCTTCTTGATTTGCAAAGAAAAAACTACATATCCAAATAAACAATTGGAAAAGTTTAGTATAGTATTCATGAAACACACGTTTGTTCAATTAACAAAAAGTTAACTCCTAAGGTAGAGTAAGAGTGACTGCCTAGTATGCTCAAGGGCTTGGGTTCAATTCCCAGCGGTGTGTATGTGTGTGTGTGTGAGGGGGGTCGGGGTGGGGAACCTAAGTTGAATCATATCCAATATCACCCAAAAAGGAAACACAGCATTTCATAGAAAACCTTAACTTTCAAGGGGAAAATTATTGTCAAAAAAAAAAAAAAGTGTGTTACACCTACCATTGTAAAAAAGGAGATGGGTCTCCAAAACAGTCAAGGTAAAATACCATGTAAGAAAACTAAGCTATTGCGATACCGAACTGATTTTCACAGGGGCTGGAGATGTAGCTCTGTGTTCAAGGTGCTGGTTTCAAAGTCTAACAGCGTAAGAAGAAAATATCTAACTGCCAAAATAGTTTAAATATACATAATTGCGTGGCAGTATTTTTCTATCCACATGTAACCAAGCCCACTCCTAACACTCTTAATAATGAGTATACAAAGAATGGTAAAGGCATGCTGACCTGGATTAAAGAATGTAGCCTAAAGAAGACAACCAAATCAATAGTTATCTAATTACCAATACTATTGGATTCTGCTTTAAGTCAATCAGATCAATTTCTTGAAGCTAAAAAGCGCATAGATCTCTAGCCTTTCAATCCACAATTTATAGAAACTTCTCTAATGCCTAAACAGATTTTTGTGACCCACACTTAGAAATTCCTTCCTCTGCTCTACCTTTTATAGACTGGACAAATATGGATCAATTACAAAAGATAAAAGAGCACAAAATGAGAAATTTAAAATTAAAGCAAAATTTCTCTGGAAGCTGCAGGTTCCCTCTAATATTAATCCCAGTATGTGAAAATACTGGACAGGGAGTACCATGCAGCATAACTGGAATTGACAGTAAAACATTTTCCAACTCATTTTACTCAAGTCTGTATTGGAACCAAAATATTTTTCGGGAACAGTTCCATCTGGATGCAATGGTTTCCGGAAGAACCGTTTTAAATGGAGATTGAGAGAACTCGTCCATGGGTCTCCTCGATGTAGGCAAATATCTCCTAACATCCTGTTCAAACTGGGTGTGGGTTTTAGATTTAAGCAGACTGGACAATGACCGCCCCCCAACACCTGCACAAGGACAACAAGCACAAAGACCAACCGAGGGGCACTCCACTGCCTCACACCTGAACATCTGGGAAAGTGCCCTTGCCTTCCACCTTCACAAAAGAAAAAGGAGACTGATAAAATTTAACTTTAGAAAGGCTTGCAAAAATCCTCTCGTCTCACTATTTTGGTTTTGACTTGGTATATTTCACTTCTCTTTTACTAAGCGCTGGCCCAAACTGGATTTCCATCATATGGGAAAAGTATGTACGCGTCTCCCCTGCAACTTTCTCGGCATTTTATCAGCCGCCGTAGTAGTTCGCCCTTACTTTCCAGCACCCTTCAGCCTCGGCTCCACACACATTTTGCACCTCACTTGCATTTCCAATAACGCTGGAGAGGGAGGGAGGGTGTGAGCGGGTGTATTTCTGAGTGGATAAGTGCACGCGCGCTCCCGAGCTGCTCCCCGCCCCCACCCCGATACTTTTCTTTGCTGGGAACCGAGGGAAATTTTTTAGAGGTTATTCCAGCGAAGAGAAACTCGGGATCACAAGCCCCAGCCCAGGAGCGGCCAAAACGACGGGGAAGGAGTCCTGTGTTAGGGTGGCGCAGTGCAACTTCTCCCCCCCCCCCCACCCCCCAGCCCGAGCCTTAGCAGATGGGAATGTGGTCGAGGACCTAGGGAGGAGCCGAGCAGATAAGGAGGAAAAAAGTGAAAGGGCCGATCCGGGGTGCAGGCAGGCAGGCGGTTAAGTTTGCAGGGCGAGATCGGGTTTCCCCGGCTCGGCGCCCCCCGCGCTCCCCCGCCTTCCCAGGTGGAACTCGTTAACCGCAGCCGCCCAGCCAGCCGACCCCGCCACCTTCCTTCCCCACGCCCCCTCCGGGCCCCCGGACAAGTGAAGGTGGCGCGGGGCGCGGGGAGCGGACGCCTGGCGGGGCCGGCGCGAGCTCGGCGAGCAGCAGCAGCAGCAGCAGCAGCAGGCCTCCGCCGACCCCGGCCCGGTCACCTGTGGAGAAAGCCGCCCCTCTCCGGCCTCTCTGCCCTTCAGCCGCCCGGCTTCCCCCCGCCGCCGCCCGGCCGGCGAGGACCCGGCCGCCCGGCCCCAGCCCCTTGAACTGGTTACAACCGGCGGCGGCGGCGGCGGCGGCGGCGGCGGGCGGGCGGGCGGGCGAGCGAGGGTCCCCGGCGGCAGGGGAGCGGCAGGCCCCGCGCAGCCGGCTCTCCAGGTCCTACCTAACAACGCCGGTCTCCTCCGTCGCCTCCTCAACGGCAGCGGCCCCGGCGGTGGCGGCGGCAGCGACATTCCTGGGGAGCGCTCCCGCCGCCGCCGCCTCCTCCACTCTCGGCTCGCCTCTCGCTGCCCGCGCGCTCCCCCCGCCCTCGCCGACACACACGCCCCGAAAGCCCGAGCCCCGCGGCTCGCGCTGCCTGGTAACCCGCCCGCCCTCCCGCCGGCGGCGGCGGCGGCGGCAGCGGCGGCGGTGGCGGCCCCGACCCTCTCCCCTTCCCCCGCGCCCGCCGTCGCGCTGGGCTCAGTAATGGCGGCCACTCGGGCTCCTCGCGCTGACGGATCTCTCCCTCTCTCCCCGAACTTTACCTCAGCATCTCTCCCGGGCGCGCACCGCCGGAACGCACGCACGCACGCGCACGCGCGCGGCCGCGGAGCCACACACACCCGGCCGGGGGCGGCGCGGGCAGCACGGGGGCGCGCCTGCGTGCCCGCGCCCGCCCCAGAATCCCCCAACCCCCCTTCCCCCAGCCCCGCGGCGCTCACCTCGGGACGCCTCCCGAACCGCGTTCCCGCTTCGGCCCCGCCCCTGCCCTCGTCTCCCGGGAACCGGGAAGGCGCGAGCCCCCGCGTCCGGAGGGAGGGTGGGAGGGAGGGAGGGAGGGGGCGCGCGCGAGCCAGCGAGAGAGCGCGCCGGGCCGCGTCCCCGCTCGGGCCCCCGCTCCCCATTGGCTTCCGCCCCTCCCCCCCCGTCTCCGCCTCCGCCATCCATTGGTTCCCGCTCCTACTCCCTTCCTTCTCACCTTTTCCCTGCTACCCATTGGCGTGAGCGGCTCTCCTCCGCTCTCCCCTTTCTCCGCGTTTCTGCTCCTCCTCCGTCCCATCCTCCACGCTTTAGGCGCCGCCGCACGCCTTGCACGGTGGCCGAGCCTCCCCTGCCCTCTCCCCAGCCTCCGTTCCGGTGTTTGGCGGTAACTCGGAGTCCTGCAAAGGAACTTGTATGTTGTGTGAGCCATTGCGAGGCACGGCCCGGGCGCCGAACGCTCCTCGATTAAATCCCTCCGAGCCCTAGGGTCCAAGGTCTCTGAGCACTGAGGAATGCAAAGGGGAAAGAATGTACCGGAGCTCCGAGCTCCGCTGCAGGGACTTGTCTCCGTGTGTGTGTGTCCCACTCTCAGCCAGAAGCCAGAGCTAGACGGAGGCGAGAGGAGTCCTTTCTCCTTGGGCACGACACAGACACAGGCCCTTGATCCTGGCCGTTCTTAGGGAAGTTGAGCGAGACGCCAAGATTTTGGTGGTTTAGGGTGGTCCCAAGGGCCCTAGCTCACAATCAGCTCAACTTCAGAAACTCTCTGCCTCTTGGCTTTCATGATAGTGCTTTAAAATGTATTCAACCTTTTTTCGAGACTTCTAGAAATATCACAAGTTTGGGAGTACGTTCAGCTTTCCATGTATTTTTCCTCTGTGCATAGAAAGTAGAGAGAATGAGCGATAGGAACCATGGCCTTTATAATAAGCTCTGAAGAAACTGTGGCTTTCCCAAGGTCACCCCAATTTTATCCGGAAATGTTACAAGAGCTGCCAGGAGATAAAAGAATGAGGGAAAAACACAAATCTGCTCCAATTCATTGGTTCTTGTAAAGGAATTTGAGGGAGAATTTCTCTTTGGGGGAAGATTTGTTTGCTGCACTGGAAACAGTTTATCATCAGTAAAAAGATGATCTAAAATCCGAGTTCCTCTCAGGCTCCATAGGGTCTGAAGCTAGCCAATGTTGCTTTTTACTGTTAAAATGGCATCACTGCAAAAAAAAAAAAAAAATGGCATCACTGCTACCATCCAGAAGTATAGTTACACACTGTCGGGAAAGAAAACAAAAACTGCCTGTTAGTGCAAATTGGTTTAGAAGATATTTGTCCCTGTATCTGTCACAATATTCCGACAGAAGAGCTGTCTGTTCCTTCCTCCGTGTCCCCACACTGTCCATATTCCTCAAAGGTAAACTTAAAATAGTTTAAGAGCAGAAAAGCTATTCCTAATTTCTCGGTAATTTCGCTCCTTTTAAAAAGGCTTGACTAAAATCTGACTCCATCCCTTGCTGCATCCGAATGTTAGCAAGAACAGAAGAGGAGGTTGTGTGTGTGGATGCTTAACAAACTATGGGGAGGACCGCCAAAGAGCATCTTCTGCCACCGCCCCCGACGGCGATGGAAGTAACAGAGAAGTTAGGAGGAGGAAGAGGGAAGGACACTTGGAAGATGAGGCCCTAATCCCTTATATAGGCTTGAACTTAATGTGTTTTGTGTATTTCTTATTTTTATATAAAAAAGCCCATAAACAGTACTTGGAGCCAACTAAAAAAGATAACCTGAATAAGATATTAGTACTATAGGGTACCCATAATAGGACAATTTTGGAATTACTTTCTAAACAACCAGAAAAATATCTAACCATGGACATTTATCAACATATCTGCAGTCAAATCAGGACTCACAAAGGAAACATTAGCATAAGAAGGTGTAATTTTCAGCTGTAAAACATGATACTAGGGGCAAAAAGGACTTGAAATCTCATTTCTCTTAGCAAAGAACCCCCCCCCCCAATTTGGTTTTCAAGCAATAATTTTCATAGCTGGCATTTTTTTGTCCTGCACCATCCATCTTGACTTAGAAGGTCTGGACATTCAAGACTTGACTCATTACTATTAATAAACTACTTACTAATTACATAAGTCACCACTGCTGTTCTCTCTAAGAAATGGAGCGTGGTCTTCTGTTCCTTCAGAAATCTGAAAACGGGGATTAGAGGCCAAAGTTCTGGGACTGATAATGTCTATATTAGGTGAGGGGCATTAAAGGGTGTGTGTATAATCCTGAGCTTTGAAACACTCACCCTCCCCACCCAAAAGAGACTATGTTCAGAAAAAATGAGGAAATGGTTCTTTAAACTCATTAGGGGTGCTATGGGGGAGCCGGAACAAACAGCACCCAACTTTCTTGCCTCTTTACTTCTTATCTGGAATTAAATGTAAGCACTTCTTCTGGTGTACTGGATAATTAAAATCACCCACAGCTTTGTTCTTTTACTTTGGGACAAAGAAAAAGGCAGAATAACATCCCAGTCAGGCATTTTAGGGTTTTAATTTAAATATTCATCTGTACAAATTTCTCTTCAACTTATCCTAACAGAATATTAATATACATTGTCGTTTTTGAACCAAAGGGTAAGGCAGTCATAAAAACGTTACCATAATTCCACCTCTGTTGGAAATGCATGAACTATGTCCTCACAGGAACTTACCCTATAGGAGCAGTTACACCCCCTGCTGGAAGTCTTTGATCATAACGTCATTGTCTTTGGTGGCCTCAACCAAGAGCACACAAAAGTCAAAGGTAGGGCTTTGCCACTGGTGACACAGTAACCAGGATTTTTGCCTAGCTGACTCGAGAGTTTCCAGAGAAGAGCCTATCGCGGAATGTTGCCTTGATTACAGACAAAATCCACAGAGACGGAGAATAAGGATAGCAATGACTGCACAAAAGCACATACAAGCCTATTGTCTCCTTTCCTGTGGCATTTCTCAGCTTGTGCCCAACCCTCCTGCCTCTCCCCTTCTCCTCACTAGCACCCTCTGCCTCAGACAGTTAAGACTGGTGATGTGGGAACGGCATGGCGAGACGAGGCTTTCCTCCTGCAGGTGGGCAACCGATGGCATATAAACAGCCCCTGCAGCCGTCTGCTGAGTTAAGAGGCACGGGGCTTCCCTTGTATTTGTTTTACTGCTACCAACGATAGTTTCAACATGAAGAAAAGAGTGTTAATTACGTCTTGGCTGTTAACGTAGGAAATATTTTGACAAGAGTTAAGGTAATCACGACTATGGGGATGGAACAGAGGGAAACTACCGCATTGACCTTTCTGGCTTTTTGTTCCACTGAACCTGGTTCTGTTGACTCTCCAGAACCATATTTTCAGACTGAAATCCCAAAAATGGTATCAGAATCTAGCTTCAAAATGTCATGTTCCTGACACTCTAGTCCCAGGACATAACTGAGACTGTCAAAGTAGCACTCTACTATAGAACAATCACTATTTATAATGAGTATTTGTAATGTAGACTTCTCTTAAAGTAATAACAATTCGCTCAGGTCCCACCAGCACAAATACTTTAATTAGACAAAATAAAAAGGTCTTCAAGCTATTTCCCCTGACAAAGGGAGTATTGTTAGGCCATCTGGACCCTCCATTGCGTTTTTATAAAAGATCGCAGCTTGAATTTAATCAACCCCAATAAGGTTAACCCTATAAAGCTGAAAAATAATTGAAAAGGTGACTAAGTGACAGATTCAGATGCTCTCTCTTAGACTGTCTCTTCTGTCATTCCCAAATCCTGTGAGCGAGAAGCAGAAAGCTGTATTGTAACTGTCTGGTCACTGTGCATTATTATAATTTCTGAGAATTCTCTCATCCTTAGTGTAGACTAAAGTTAGATTGTGAGCTCTTCTGGGTGGGGATTATGAATGCGTATCTGGCTCCATACAGTGATAAAATATGTGGTTATTGGTTCAAAGCTTAGTAAATATTTGCTAATATGAAACACTCTAGGTTTTATGGATTCCTGGGATTTGTTACTAACAGAAGGACTTCTACTATGTTTTGAAGTACCAGCTGAGGTAATCACTTTAAGAGGAAAAAAAAACATAAATGTTGATTCAGTTGTCCTTCCCAATGTACAGCCCACGCTTCTCCATATCACGTCTCAGGTACACAGTGAGTTTAAGGCCAGCCTGGGCTACATGAGACCTTGTTTCAAACATAGTGTTTTACCCATAGCGGAGACGGCCTCATCAAACACCTAATAAATAGTTTTCCCTGACAAATGCTGACAAAGCAAGCAGATCCTTTCAGGAATTCCCATCTCTCTCTTTTGGAATGAAAGATTCACTATAGAATATATTTCATTTAGATGGCCTCCACGTAGGCTTGTCACACACGGCTTACTTTTGCATGCCACCATCCCAGGTCAATGAGGGCTGCTTCTCAAAGTTGAGGCTATTGTTCTGCAGCTCTTCTCTACCTCTGCATGCTCCTGAACGCAGCACCAGTTTAAGGAAAGGAAAGACGAGCCGGGCAGTGGTAGCGCACG